TTACAGTAGAAATAAATGGAGCTCATGGCTGTGCGACCTTAATATGAACGCTAAGATCGGAATTCATGTGTTTTTTTTTCCCCCACCGCACCATCATTCAGCGTTACCATGGCAGCAGAGCCGAACAGAATTAAAGACTGTAAACATTTTTAAATAATTACTTTAATGAAGTTATTTAATGATCGTGTTGCCCTTTTCCCCCTGGAGCCCCTTAAAACAGAGCAGAGAAACAAACACTACCGTAAAAATGATCTATGAAGTCTGATTGTGAGGCTTCGTCTCAGGGCTGTATGATCTTTACACGCTTATATATTATTACACATATTTATACACGCTTATATGTTATTACACATATTTATACACTCTTATATGTTATTACACATATTTATACACTCATATGTTATTATACATATTTATACACTCATATATTTACTCTCGACCAAAAAACACAAAACTGGACTACTTTCAGCTGTAAACCTCTGATGCATAATTAAGACAGTAGATGTTAGAGGTGACAAAATATAACATTGCGATACTTCAAGCAATTTGTATGATACACAATATCACAATATTTATTTTCCAGAGAGCCAGTAGAGCTACATTTAAAAAAATACTATCAAAAACTGTGAAAACTGTTTGAACTGTCAAAAACTCTCTTTATACTGAAACATGCAGTTGGTCAGCGTCCACAAGCACTGACGATAAACACAATACGATCAGAAAAACCTATTTTATTGCACTGTGACATCATTTATCACGATAATGATATATATTGTCGTATTGCCCAGCTCTGCTGTTAGGATAAAGCAACAAATGATTTCCATTCAACAGAAAAGACAAACATACACACGTCTATGAGGAAACAGACAGAACAGCATTGATGCGTAACGGACGGAGGAAACATCAGTGCAGCACCATCTGACCAGACAGCAGCAGAAGGAGATGGACACCACAGAGAGAGAGAAGGTGAGGAGATGGTTCTCTGAGTTTAAGGTGCCACTGAAAGACAATCAGCTCAGAGAAGAGAGTCAAAGCACAAAACACAGACTGAACTCTGAGAATATCTCAGAAGGACTCGCCGTCTCTCTGCGCGGAGCTGCTAGTGAGCAACGAGGAGTGAACACTGCATTTTAAGGCCACTAAATGTGTAAAGCCCCCTGATATTCAGGGGTCCCGTGTTGTCTGTCTGCTAACTCTCTCTCCATAGCGGCGCTGATGCTTCAGCGTCAGTAAATGTCTGTTTTATCAGCTGTTCTTCTGTAGAGTCTCTGTTCTAGTGCGGTTCTGCGCTATTCCTCACAGTAACTGAGATCTTCCTCGTCTCCTCTTCTGTAGAGTCTCTGTTCTAGTGCGGTTCTGCGCTATTCCTCACAGTAACTGAGATCTTCCTCGTCTCCTCTTCTGTAGAGTCTCTGTTCTAGTGCGGTTCTGCGCTCTTCCTCACAGTAACTGAGATCTTCCTCGTCTCCTCTTCTGTAGAGTCTCTGTTCTAGTGCGGTTCTGCGCTCTTCCTCACAGTAACTGAGATCTTCCTCGTCTCCTCTTCTGTAGAGTCTCTGTTCTAGTGCGGTTCTGCGCTCTTCCTCACAGTAACTGAGATCCTCCTCGTCTCCTCTTCTGTAGAGTCTCTGTTCTAGTGCGGTTCTGCGCTCTTCCTCACAGTAACTGAGATCTTCCTCGTCTCCTCTTCTGTAGAGTCTCTGTTCTAGTGCGGTTCTGCGCTCTTCCTCACAGTAACTGAGATCTTCCTCGTCTCCTCTTCTGTCTTCAGTGTGAGAAATGAGGAACAGTCACTCTTCACTCCAAACTCTTGGGAAACTGGGCGAGTTTTCAGATTTACAGATCTGCTGCAGCTCATTGTAAAGTGTTTCAGAGGAATCCGGGCAGAGTTACAGTTTCTAGACTATGAAGGACCAACTGGGTGAACCAGTCTGCTACAGCGCCACCCTGAGGCAGAGCAGTGCTGCAGCTCTAGTTAGTTAAGAACACCAGAGACAGAAGCTGATTGTGGGAGAAGCAGATAAACAATCAGCTTCACTGAGTCTGGATTTGAGGGAACCCCTGTGGGTCAGAGGAGATCATGGAAGCTCAAACCCGATTAGCATGGTGCTAACTGGTGTTATGCTAATTGTTGGGCTGTCACTCCACCTGACACCTTTTCACACATTACTAAAAACAAACCTACTAAACAAAACCCTGCTTTTGATCAATTAAAATATATAATAATCAAAGCCGAGTGATCCTTCACTCAAAACAGGAAACATCTTTTGTTAAAGGCGATAATAAACACTATATGCAAACCTTTACCCTCTTAAAACTGCAGCACTCACACTTTCCTGCAACAGCTATGAATCACAACCACACCTTATTTCACACAGAGGGTGGAACAGAGCACAGAGCAAATAAAGAACAACAGCACCACCCAGTGGCCAGAGTGGAGAATCACCTTAACACAACACAAAACACTGCTTACCTGCTGATTTTCTACTACACAAGGTGGGGTTTCTAATAAAGTGGCCAGTTAGTGAATATATGAGGTGGGTGTTTCTAATAAAGTGGCCAGTCAGTGAATACATGAGGTGGGTGTTTCTGATAAAGTGGCCTGTTAGTGAATATATGAGGTGGGTGTTTCTAATAAAGTGGCCAGTTAGTGAATATATGAGGTACGTGTTTCTGATAAAGTGGCCGGTTAGTGAATATATGAGGAACATGTTTCTAATAAAGTGGCCAGTTAGTGAATATATGAGGTGGGTGTTTCTGATAAAGTGGCCAGTTAGTGAATATATGAGGTGGGTGTTTCTAATAAAGTGGCCAGTTAGTGAATATATGAGGTAGGTGTTTCTGATAAAGTGGCCTGTTAGTGAATATATGAGGTGGTTGTTTCTAATAAAGTGGCCAGTTAGTGAATATATGAGGTGGGTGTTTCTGATAAAGTGGCCAGTTAGTGAATATATGAGGTGGGTGTTTCTAATAAAGTGGCCAGTTAGTGAATATATGAGGTGTTTCTGATAAAGTGGCCAGTTAGTGAATGTATGAGGTGGGTGTTTCTGATAAAGTGGCCAGTTAGTGAATATATGAGGTAGGTGTTTCTGATAAAGTGGCCAGTTAGTGAATATATGAGGTACGTGTTTCTGATAAAGTGGCCAGTTAGTGAATATATGAGGTAGGTGTTTCTGATAAAGTGGCCAGTTAGTGAATATATGAGGTACATGTTTCTGATAAAGTGACCAGTTAGTGAATATATGAGGTAGGTGTTTCTGATAAAGTGACCAGTTAGTGAATATATGAGGTGGGTGTTTCTAATAAAGTGGCCAGTTAGTGAATATATGAGGAGGGTGTTTCTGATAAAGTGGCCAGTTAGTGAATATATGAGGTAGGTGTTTCTGATAAAGTGGCCTGTTAGTGAATATATGAGGTGGGTGTTTCTAATAAAGTGGCCAGTTAGTGAATATATGCGGTGGTTGTTTCTAATAAAGTGGCCAGTTAGTGCATATATGAGGTGGGTGTTTCTAATAAAGTGGCCAGTTAGTGAATATATGAGGTACGTGTTTCTGATAAAGTGGCCAGTTAGTGAATATATGAGGTGGGTGTTTCTAATAAAGTGGCCAGTCAGTGAATACATGAGGTGGGTGTTTCTGATAAAGTGGCCTGTTAGTGAATATATGAGGTGGGTGTTTCTAATAAAGTGGCCAGTTAGTGAATATATGAGGTACGTGTTTCTGATAAAGTGGCCGGTTAGTGAATATATGAGGTACATGTTTCTAATAAAGTGGCCAGTTAGTGAATATATGAGGTGGGTGTTTCTGATAAAGTGGCCAGTTAGTGAATATATGAGGTGGGTGTTTCTAATAAAGTGGCCAGTTAGTGAATATATGAGGTGTTTCTGATAAAGTGGCCAGTTAGTGAATATATGAGGTGGGTGTTTCTGATAAAGTGGCCAGTTAGTGAATATATGAGGTAGGTGTTTCTGATAAAGTGGCCAGTTAGTGAATATATGAGGTGGGTGTTTCTGATAAAGTGGCCAGTTAGTGAATATATGAGGTAGGTGTTTCTGATAAAGTGGCCAGTTAGTGAATATATGAGGTACGTGTTTCTGATAAAGTGACCAGTTAGTGAATATATGAGGTAGGTGTTTCTGATAAAGTGACCAGTTAGTGAATATATGAGGTGGGTGTTTCTAATAAAGTGGCCAGTTAGTGAATATATGAGGTGGGTGTTTCTGATAAAGTGGCCAGTTAGTGAATATATGAGGTAGGTGTTTCTGATAAAGTGGCCTGTTAGTGAATATATGAGGTGGGTGTTTCTAATAAAGTGGCCAGTTAGTGAATATATGCGGTGGTTGTTTCTAATAAAGTGGCCAGTTAGTGCATATATGAGGTGGGTGTTTCTAATAAAGTGGCCAATTAGTGAATATATGAGGTGGGTGTTTCTAATAAAGTGGCCAGTTAGTGAATATATGAGGTGTTTCTGATAAAGTGGCCAGTTAGTGAATATATGAGGTGGGTGTTTCTAATAAAGTAGCCAGTTAGTGAATATATGAGGTAGGTGTTTCTGATAAAGTGGCCAGGTAGTGAATATATGAGGTACGTGTTTCTGATAAAGTGGCCAGTTAGTGAATATATGAGGTAGGTGTTTCTGATAAAGTGGCCTGTTAGTGAATATATGAGATGAGTGTTTCTGATAAAGTGGCCAGTTAGTGAATATATGAGGTAGGTGTTTCTGATAAAGTGGCCAGTTAGTGAATATATGAGGTAAGTGTTTCTGATAAAGTGGCCAGTTAGTGAATATATGAGGTGGGTGTTTCTGATAAAGTGGCCAGTTAGTGAATACATGAGGTACATGTTTCTGATAAAGTGGCCAGTTAGTGAATATATGAGGTGGGTGTTTCTAATAAAGTGGCCAGTTAGTGAATATATGAGGTGGGTGTTTCTAATAAAGTGGCCAGTAAACCCGATCCTCCAGCAGGAGGCGCTGTGTGATTGTTTATGTAATAAACTCACGTGCGGACGCAGTTGTGGCACGCGGTCTGCAGGAACTTCCTCGCGATGCAGAATGCAAAAGGCGCGCTGCTCTTAGTGTCGCCTCCTTTGATGTGTTTGAGCTGTATCACCGCTCCTGCTTTGATCTCACCGACCGCGCGCAGTCCGTTTCCCGCCCGTGCACTAATAAACCTCTCCCCGTGCGCCGCCATCATGTTCAGGAACGACAGAGACGCTGGCGGAGTTCGGACTTTCAAAATAAAAGCCCTCTGAGGCTTTGGGGGCTTTTATTTTGTAACGCCCACCGTTGCGTCGCCCGAGAGTGACGCAGTGGGCGCGCGCCTGGACCGAGGGTCACAGCAGACGGCGGTGTGCACGCGCACCGAGACGCAGCCGCACGCGGAGACCTTCACCTTCATCACCATAACACTCGGCATCATCACCATCACCTGTCCGATCAGCCGGTGATCACCCTCAGGTGAGTGCAGCCTCGCGCTGTCATCACACCGTCACCCAGCGCGTGACTGATCAGCATCATTACACTGACCGTGCAAACACTGATATTATTAGCCTGTATCGATGATCAGAGCGGCTTCTTTTATAGTTATGATTTTATAATGTAAGTGATTATCGATCAGCTCAGCGCTGAAGCTGAGTGTATATTTATCTTCAACGTCATGTTCATCAAAGTGTTTTATTATTATATCTAATTAGAGTTAATTAGTGTTAAACACACACACACACACACACACACACACCAGAGGGATTGAAACACAGCAACAGGGAAAAGTGACTCTGACCACTATTAAAGGGAAATTACACCCATTTTTCTAAATTTCAGCTCAGTGGTTAAAAGTGAGATTCAGAGTGGTTTGGTGTGAAATGGTTCAGATGTCTTTACAGTGGTGGTGATAGGAACCAGGGGTCGCCATGACTACAACACAAATATAGACATTTTATTTACTATCCAGAACCACCAGTGAACCTACACGAGTCTTCTGAGTTTATATGGAATGTTGATGATGGAAAATAGTGGAAAATCTGAAATAATAAGTTTTCTTTGGGGACTATTTTGCCTCACAGCGCCCTGCATGTATCCCTCCACCATGAATGGAGTTTAAGTTCTCTAAACTATCATAAAACAGTGTCTCAGTCATCAGGCAGTGAATTCATAACCATTTCATGTAGGAACTTTCTGTGAGGGAGCTTTTAGAGGTGGACGTCTGGTTCCTATCACCACCACTGTGAACAGTTCTGACTCGGTAAGTTTATCTAGAACAGAGCGTTTCACACCAAACCACTCTGAACCGCTCTGAACCGCTCTGTTTACATCTTAACCATTTAGTTATGTAGGAACTTTGAAAACTTGGTGAAATTCCCCTTTAAAAGTTATTTTGCTTTTAAAATGATGTTTTTGAAGGATTTAGTAACAAAATATTTGTGTATTTTGTCTGTTTGGCCCTCAGCCCACCACAAACACCACCCCCCCACCATTGGCAGAAGGTTTAGACCCCCCCGATCTGGACTGTATCATAGTTTTTGCTGAAAATTAAAAGAAAATGTTTTGTTCTCCTTCCAGGACCTGCAGCTCAGTATGGCATTGTGTGGTGGATGCAGGGTTCTGGTTCTGGCCGTGCGGAGTGTGCATGTTTCGGCCCGGTCTGCTCCAGCGCTCGCCCAGCCGGTCAGAGCGTTCTCCTCTTCGTCTCGGGTTTGCTCTCTGGACTCATTCTCCTCGGGTCAGAGGAGGGTTCCGGCAGCCGGGGTGAAGACCGAGAGGACCTGTCCATCCGTGAGCAGCGCCCAGAGGAACCTGTCGGCCGTGGCCGTGTCCCTGCAGGTTCAGCGCCGGCCCCTCTGCAGGTACGACCTGCTAGACCTGGGAGAGGTGGAGGAAAACACACGCAAAGCACTCGCCTGTAAACACCTGAGGAGGTTCATCATAGACCCAAACCTGGCCAGAGTGGTGGCCGAGCACCTTTCACAGGACATAGAGGACGGCAAAGCGGTCATCTTCGAGTGTAATCCAGGTGTGTGCTGGCAGTAATATAGTACCCCACCAAGTACTGTGGTGCTAAAAGTACACCTAAATCCTCACTCGCCTAAAACTTTATTCATTTATCCACTGATTCTTCAAAATTCCTCATGCTTAGTTGGTTAAGATGTAAACAGAGCGGTCGTTCAGAGCGGTTCAGAGTGGTTTGGTGTGAAACGCTCTGTTCTAGATAAACTTACCGAGTCAGAACTGTTCACAGTGGTGGTGATAGGAACCAGATGTCCACCTCTAAAAGCTCCTCACAGAAAGTTCCTACAGTAAATGGTTATGAATTCACTGCCTGATGACTGAGACACTGTTTTATGATAGTTTAGAGAACTTAAACTCCATTCATGGTGGAGGGATACATGCAGGGCGCTGTGAGGCAAAATAGTCCCCAAAGAAAACTTATTATTTCAGATTTTCCACTATTTTCCATCATCAACATTCCATATAAACTCAGAAGACTCGTGTAGGTTCTCTGGTGGTTCTGGATGGTAAGTACATTCGCTGTATTTAGAGATGTAAATGTAGTGGTTCTTTTTTTATATGCGTGTCTTCTTTAAAGAACCATCTATTGAAATGTTCTTTAGGTGAAAGTGCGTTCCTACTTCTTAAGAATCGTCCTGTCTTTCCACTACATTCTTAAAAAAGATGGTTCCTCAAGGGTTCTTTAGGAAAGAAAATGGTTCTATATACAACCTCGAACGCTCAAAAAACCCTTTGCATGATTAAAGGGTTCTTTGCATCATGAAAGTGTTCTTCAGAATGATGGAAAATGCATGAATTACATGGTTCTATATAGAACTTTTTGAAAAAGGGTTCTGTGGAGCACCCAAAGGGGTTCTTCTATTTATAAAAGTTTGACATTGTAACAATACAAGAACCCTTTTTGGTGCTGTATAGAACCATTTTCAAAAAGGTTCTATGTAGAACCCTCTACAGCACATTCTGCATTAATCAACAAAGAACGCTTTCATGATGCAAAGACCAACTAAATCATGCAACATGTTCTTTGAATGTTCATGATTCTACATAGAAACATTTGCTGTACTAAAGAACCCTTGAAGAACCATCCTTTTTAGGAGTGTAGAGAGCGGAATGATTGTGTAACAGGACATTTCTCAGCCTAGACCTCAGCCTAGACCTCAGCCTTTCACAGTTACCACTGTTTTTGTTTTTGCACCATTCAGCCTTAATTTCTTTTCATGTTCAAATTAATTTGGTCGTTTTGATGAACCTGGATTTTAGTGTTCTCCTCTCCGTGTTCCGTGTGAAGCTCGATGTTCCTTTGGAAACATTCCTCCTTATTTACGTCCACTGAGGAAGTACAGTTGTTTTCTCCCACTGATCTCCGATGATTCACAGTTCCTGTACTGTTTTTTTCACTAACCCTTGGGCCGTTATTTGTTCCGCAGGTCCTGGAGTGTTGACCCGCACGCTGCTGAACTGCGGCGCTCAGAGAGTGGTGGCGCTAGAGAGCGATAAAGCCTTCCTACCTGACCTGCGGGTGAGAGAGCACTCTGACTTGAGCAGGATTTTGTATCTTAAAAAAAGATCCTTCAAGGGTTCTTTAGTAAAGACACTGGTTCTATATAGAACCATGAACACTTAAAGAACCATCTGCATGCTTAAATGGTTCTCTGCATGGTGAAATTCTTCTTCAGATTGATGGTGAGCGTGCTGTGTATGGTTCTATTTAACACCAAAAAGGGTTCTGCTATTATGATGTCAAGCTTATAACTATAGAAGACTCTTTTTGGTACTATATAGAACGTTTTTCAAAATGGTTCTGTATAGAACCACATACAACACGTTCTCCACCAATCTGAAGAACGGTCTTTTTCTAAGAGTGATAATTCAGTTCAGCTGTGATTCTTTAGGATGTGATCTAGTTTTTCTAATAAAATGCACTGAATACAGTAATACAGCAGGAGGCGCTGTTCACACAGTAGTGGAACATACACAACAAAAACACTCCAAGCTTTTTAACGTGTGTAAATCAGTGCAGGTGAGTATCGCCTCCTGCAGATGGCGACATTTCTACCCCTTCAGCTCTGTACTGGTGTTTCAGGCTCTGGAGAACAATCTGGAAGGCCAGCTGGAGGTGGTCCACTGTGACTTCTTTAAGCTGGACCCCATCGGCCAGGGCAGCATGAAGCCCCCAGCCATGTACTCGGAGAAACTCTTCACGGATCTCGGCATCTCCGAAGTGCCCTGGACAGCAGGTCAGTGCCGGAGAACGAACAAAATAAAAACAGTGATAGTGTTGTTCCGGTCCAGTGTTCCACCCCCTGTCTGCAGAACTGCAACTATAATGTGTTCTCATGTTCAGCAGCGTTCGGCTGTTTTCACTCCTACAAGTTTAGAACCACTAAAGAACTCTGTACCACACACCTGCGTCCTGTCGTCATCACCTGTGTGGGCTGCGTCTCCCTGTACTGGACACTGATTGGTTTGTACACTTAGCAAAAAGAGTTCTGTAAAGTACCAAAAAAGGCTTCTCTGGCTTGTAAGAATAGTGGAACCCTTTTTGGTGCGCCATTTTCTTTACTGTAGAACCCTTGAGGAACCCTCTTTTGTAAAAGTGGAGGAGCAGGTGTCTGATGTTGGCGTGTGGTCAGTCAGCGGGCAGCCTTTTCTGTTTGAATAGAGAGAAATTAATATCCTCTCTGTCTCATCCTCTCAGAGAACAAACACAATAAAACCGTAATAGTGTTCTCCCCCGTGACTATAACGCGTCACAGAACCGAGGTCCATGTTTTGTTACACTGTGTACGTCCAGTTAGTTTTGGTTTCACAGTGCAGTTTAGTGAGCGCACTGAAGGACTCTGTAGGACACACGGTAGGGCTGCACGATACTGATGGAAAATGCGATGTTGGATAAAGCTGGCAGATTTCACGATGATGATGATGATACGAGAAGAGCTACATTACTATTGAAGTAATAGATATAGAAATGTCTGATATGTAAATATAAAGGGCTGGATGCGCGGACATTTTTGCAGATGTGTAAACACAGATCTAACTAATGAAATGAAACACTGAAAACTGCTCACATCAGAACTGAGAGCACATTTTTTTGTGCACTGCAGGGCTGAGAAACTGTCAGCATCACCAACAGCTTTTTCTACAATGGGCTACAAAACCAAATAAATCTATATTTATTATTTATATAAACACCCAAGAACAAATACATATTCTTGTTTCATTCATGTTTTGTTTAGTTATTAAATTTTGTGCCGGGTTGTATTTAGTGTAAAATAACATTCATGCTTTTGGCTGAGTGTAGTTTGGCCCCGTGTTCTTAGTTGGTCCGGGACTCTTATTTTGAAGGACTTTGCCCAGGGGGGTAAGGGAGCGAGCCCAGCTGGCTTGCGGAAAGCAGTAGAGCCTGAACAGCCTGTGTGCTGCATGTTTCCGCTTTACTGCAGCTGCTCTGAGTTGAATCTCCATTAAAGCTGAGTTGTGGGGTTGTTGTGTCGTTTGAGCTCTGAAGTTAAGGTGCGGTCGTGTTGTGTGTCTGAGCAGACGTTCCGGTGAAGGTGGTGGGGATTTTCTCCCAGAGGAACGAGAGGAACATGCTGTGGAAGCTCGTCTACGCTCTGTTCGAACGCCTGTCCATCTTCCGCTACGGACGCGTGGAGCTGATCATGTTCATCAGCGAGAAAAACTACTCAGTGAGTTTTTGACGGCGGCCTCAGCCTTTATATGCAGATTGCTGGTCAGTAGCACCCTGTGACCTGTGACCCTCTGCCCCCAACACTGTCCATTTTTAGATAAGTATGGAAGCTCATTTCTGCTACTTACAGTAAAAAAATCTGGCACCTAATTGTTATTTTTCATTATTAAGTGAATTGCAATGCCATTATTTTGAGATACTGACTCATTATTCTGAGATGATAAGTCTTATTTTGAGACACTGTCTCATTATTCTCAGATAATGTCTTATTTGAGACACTGTCTCGTTATTCTGAGATAATGTCTTATTTTGAGACACTGTCTCATTATTCTGAAACACTAGGTCTTATTTTGAGATACTGTCTCGTTATTCTGAGATACTAAGTCTCATTTTGAGATGAGATTTGTTATTTTGTTATATCTTTGTTTATCTTTGTATCTTGAAAGCATAAAACTTCTCAAAATAACACAAATGTTTCTCAGCATAATGACTCAGTTTCTCAATATAGCAATTCACTTAATAATGGAAAAAAATAATTAGGTGCTGATTTTTTATATGAAGTGGCAGGAAAGATCAGTTTCCAAAAACAGATCAAAATATATATTTAATTTAAATATTTTGTCAAGATAGTGTTTTGGCAGATAGACAGCTTGTTAGATAGATAGAAATATAATTCAATAGAAAATAAATAATAGGTAAATTGAATTTTGTGTGTGTGTGTGTGTGTGTGTGTGTGTGTGTGTGTGTGTGTGTGCGTGTGTGTGTGTGTGCGTGTGTGTGTGTGTGTGTTGCAGAAGCTGGTGGCCCAGCCTGGGAACAATAAAAGCTACCAGGCTGTGAGCGCGCTCTTCCAGATGTCCTGCAACATCGAGCTGCTGCACCAGGTCAGACACGCTTCAGTCAGAGTGATATAAACTTACAGCAGTTCAGAAAATAATGTGTCTCTCTTCCGTCTGAATCTCCAGGAGCCGTGGTCCTCCTTCGTTACCACATCGAGGTGCGGTGGGCTGAGCATTCCCAAAAGCACTGTGAGTGGACGTCATACTTAACACTCATACACTTAACATATTCACCAACTGACCACTTCATTAAACTCCACCTCCTTGTTTCTACACTCACTGTCCACTTCATCAGCTCTACTGACCGTATAGTTTCAGTCTGTAGTTCTACAGTTACAGACTGTAGTCCATCTGTTTCTCTGATACTTTGTTACCCTGTTCTTCAGTGGTCAGGACCCCCATGGACCCTCACAGAGCAGGTACTATCTGGGTGGTGGATCATCCTCAGCACTGCAGTAACACTGACGTGGTGGTGGTGTGTTAGTGTGTGTTGCGCTGGTACGAGTGGATCAGACACAGCAGTGCTGCTGGAGTTTTTAAACACTGTGTCCACTCACTGTCCACTCTATTAGACACTCCTACCTTGTCAGTCCACCTTGTAGATGTAAAGTCAGAGACGATAGCTCATCTGCTGCTGCACAGTTTGTGTTGGTCATCCTCTAGTCCTTCATCAGTGGTCACAGGACGCTGCCCACAGGACGCTGTTGGCTGGATATTTTTGGTTGGTGGACAATTCTCAGTCCAGCAGGGACACTGAGGTGTTTAAAACTCCAGCAGCACTGCTGTGTCTGATCCACTCTGACCAGCACAACACACACTAACACACCACCACCACGTCAGTGTTACTGCAGTGCTGAGAATGACCCACCACCCAAATGAAGTCCTGGAATAAGCTTGATTTTCAGTGAGTAAATACTAGTAGGAGTAATTAGAGTTCTGCGATATGGCAAAAGGAATAACATTGCGATAATATCACGTGTGTCAAGAAATCTCCATGGCACATGATTTATCACGATATTTATATTTTCAGGAATCTGATCAGTTGGAACAGAGAAAAAAGAGCCAGTAGAGCAACGTTTTTAAAAATACTATAAAAACTGTGATTTTTTATTCAGTATTTGTCACTAAATCAGTTAAATGGACAAGTTTTTTCTCTCTGTATAATGAATCATGCAGTTGGTCAGTGTCTACAAGCACTGATGATATACACTATATGATCAGAAAAGCTTATTGTATTGTATTGTGACATAATTTATCGCAATATAAATATATATAGTCGTATTGCCCAGATCTAAGAGTAATAATAACATTACTAGGAATATATTATGAACTTGTAATGCATTATTGCAGTTTATGTATATAATGTTATAATATTATTTAAAAAGCTCTTTTTAGACATTAAATGGCAGCCCAGTGTGCATCACAGAGAAAGAGTGTAATAAAGAATTAATACAATGAACAAAAGTTAAAAATAAAATATTAATATATATATATATATATATATATATATATATATATATATATATTTGTGTATCATGAGATGAGCTAAACTGATTAAAAGCTGTTTGTTTAAATGACTGTAATTGTTTGCTAAGTGTTTTTGTCTGCTGTCTGTTGCTGTAGGTGGTGCCGAATGATCACCTGTGTCTGGTGCGGATCACTCCCCGAGTCGATTTATTCACTTCCACCGTCACTCCGTTCAACAGCAGCACTCTGGTCGTGATGGTCAAACAGTGTCTGGCGAAAAGGAGAGGAAAACTCATCGAAAAGCTCAAGTAGGTGAAAAATAGGGTCATAATAAATCAGCGGTCAGTATTTATCAGGAACAGGAAATTTAATTATCATTATTATTATTATTATTGGTCCAGTGTTTCCTGTGGATCGAGAGGTTGTTTAGTGTGGAGGGTGAAGTTTCTGATAGAACACTTGATAATTATATAAATTATATAGGCTAGTTTATTTTTTCAGTGACAGTTCTTAGTGTTTTTATTTCAAATTAAAACCTTCGTGGTTCAACGTCAAGGTCACAGATTCAGTTTGAGTCGCGGTTAGAACAGTTCAGTTTAGCATGTCCGGTGTTCTGACCTCAGGAGAACCATGAAAATGTGGATTTATTATAATAATGTTTATTTATTTGAACAAAAATTAAGTATAAACTCAAGTTGAAGGACAAAGGTTTCTCTGGGTGTCTAAGTAGATGCCTGTTTAATTTGAAATTAGTCTGAAAAGTCGGGCAGCGCAACCAGTCAGTCAGATGGAGATATCTTTCCAACCTCTATCAGAATAACCAGGCTTTTCTTGTTACTGTGCCTTTAAGACTGATATGTGTAAATGAGCCCTGTTCTGATTGGCTGTCCTGTACTGTGCCTAATTCAAAAAGCAGTCCAGGCTGGAGCCCTTCCTTAGAACTGTGTAATAGTCAGTGCTCCCTATAATTATAAGGGGAATTCCACCATTTTTTAGAATTCCCCCATAACTCAGTGTTTGAGGTGTAATCAGAGTGATTCAGAGTGGTTTGGTGTGAAATGGTTCAGATGTCTTTACAGTGGTGGTGATAGGAACCAGGGGTCGCCATGACTACAACACATATATAGACATTTTATTTACTATCCAGAACCACCAGTGAACCTACACGAGTCTTCTGTGAACGGTTCTGACTCGTTAAGTTTATCTAGAACAGAGCGTTTCACACCAAACCACTCTGAACCGCTCTGTTTACATCTTAACCAGTTAATTAAGCAGATATTTTGCTCTTCCAAACTGTTTTCAGCTATTTAAAGTCCCTGCTGATGTTCTCGATCTTCCCTTTGCAGCTCATGGAGTCCAGGCATCGGTCAGGACCTGCTTGGTCAGATCGGGCTGAGTGAGGACGTCCTGACCGGTCAGGTTTATCCGGATCAGTACAAGCATCTGTTCGAGCTGATGGAGAAATCGGAGCAGTTCACTCAGAGCTGGCTTTATTCCGAAATTCTGGAGAACACCAAGAACACAGGCCGCGGATCATAGCACGGACGGGTGCACGCACCGTTTCCATGGAAACCGGGGAGAAGGAGCCAGAGAGACAGTTCTGAAGCATGCGAGATGTGTTTGACTGCTTGAGTTCAGCTCATTATCACGTCTGCGGTATTCGCCAGTTAGACCCTCTGATTGGCTGGAGGAACGATAGTGATATTTAGCCAAAGAGCATTAGCACCTGTGCTAGTGTAGCGTGCGCTCGGCTCAGCTGTGCTTTGGTTAAGCGTTCAGAACGTGTTTAAATATTTAATACCAAAAACAAACCTGTAGGGCTGATAAACACACGTGTCCATACTGAGGTTATAACGCTATGTAGCGCAGTTACAGAACAGCTTTCAATATTAATAAACACCTATTGGTGAATCACTGAGTGTGTTTACATGCACTCAATAATCCGATAACTGCAGAAAATCAGATTTCATCAGTAATCCGATCAACACGTTTATATGCACTTGAGTAATCAGATAATGGGGAAACCCCAGGTCTACATGAGTCAGACAGTAATCAGATTTCTGCTTTGAAACCAGCCAATAAACTCACAGAAGACGAGACGTAAACGTAACGTAACACTCAAACTTCATGCTGCGGCTTTTTTTTTAAACGTCGCGCCGCTTTAGCTGAAAATATGAACAAACATCATCTAGAAGATGAAGAATATTTAAATCCTTTATTCCATGTTTGGCTTCATTTTGTTGCGTCTCACGACATCCACCGTCTGATCTCGCGCTGCGCAGACTGAGAAATCTGATGGAAATCAGAGTAAGAGTTTACATGCACTGAAAAATCTGATTACTGAGCTAAAATCCAGCCTCTTTATCAGATTCCTTAATCGGATTTCTAGATCGGAGTATGGAGTTTACATGACCATTTGAATAAACGGATAACTGCAGAAATCCGATTATGATCGGATTATTTAGTGCATGTATACGCACTCAGTGTTCTGGCATGGTTAAAGGAACGTTCCGGCATTTTTCAGCCTAATGTCTGTTCCGTATCTGTCCACAGGCTCAGCTACCGCAGACAGTAATTTCCCCGAACCTGGAAACAAACAGAACCCAATTGGTCAGAATTACAATAGAAGTCAATGGGCTGAATGAATTATGATGGAACTGATGGAAAATATGTTGTGTATGGTTCTATACAGCACCAAAAAGGGTTCTGCTGTTGTTAGAACCATTAAGCAAGCAGATAGTTCTTTGAGTTCTCATAGTTCTGTATGGAGTTATTGTCTTTACTAGAGAACCCTTGAAGAAACACCTTTTCAAGAGTGTATACAACAGGTTTTCCATCATAGAGAAGAACCGTGTTCAAATGGTTCTTTACATGGTCATAGTTCTATTTACAACCATTGCTCTTATAAAAGAACCCTTTTTAGAGGGTGTACTTACAAATTCTATGCAAATTAAGGATTTTTGATAGAACCTTTGCACATTTATAACTTTTAAAATGTTCTTCACACTCACACGTTTCATTTACAAACATTGTCCGTCGTTTGAAAGGTTCCTTGAGAGACTCTTTTGGTTCTGATGAAGCATCAGGCACAGAACCCTTTTATCTTTAAGATGTAGGCTGAGGAGCGCCGGAGAGTTCCTTTAAAAACTGGCCTGCGTTATTTTAGACTCTAATAATTTACTTTAACTGGATTGCATGAAAACACTGATTCATCCGAATCTCACAGAAGCTCGTGTGATTGGTTAAGATGATCACAGCACGCGCTGGTACTGGTCAGAGGGCTCATTTGCATATTGCAGCCTTCTGCAATATCAGTATTGCAGTAATGTGATATTAAGGGTGGGCGATACGACAAAGATATAAACATCATGATACTCAATGACATTTTCACGATTCACCACATATGCAGAACAGTAGAGCTGCATTTCATGATTAATTTAATTCAGCATTTAAAAAATAAACAATTTAAGACCGAAAATTCAGACGTTTAGTAAACATGAAGTAAGATGATGTCATAACAGGTTGCCGTCCAATCAGCTATGTATTATTATACTGTTCATGCGTTTTCAATACGCTGGTAGTGGTCACTGTTGTTGTTGTTTACAACTCTATAATTGGTCTAAATAAGTCTTTTTTTCATCTGCAGTGTTCTAGACGTGTGGGCTGTACCCATCAAATACTCAGAAAAGAATATTGTGATGGAATTCATCATGATAATAATGGCACATCGTCATATCGCCCAGCCCTGTGATGTATCATTCAGCCCTGCACTTTTAAAAAAGATGCTTCTTTAAGACAGTGGTTCTATATAGAACCATGAACACTCAAGAGAACCATTCCCATGCTTCAGTGGTTTTCTGCATGGTGAAATGGTTCTTCAGACATATGGGGATATATGGGTGTTGTACTTGGATCTGTATAGCACCAAAAAAGGTTCTGCTTGGTTGGGTTGTTACAAGCTTGGTTGGGTTGTTACAAGCTTGACCTATTTTGGTGCTCTATAGAACCAAGACATTCTCCATCAATCTGAAGAACTATTTCACCATGCAGAGAACCATTTAAACATGCAAACTGTTCTTTGAGTGCTCATGGTTCTTTAACCACTGCCCTTACTAAAGAACCTTGAAGAACCATGTTTTTAAGAGCGCACAGGCCGTTTTACTGCAGTTGAAAACTCGTAGCGTATTGATTATGACTTTACGATGAAACGTGTGGATTTCTATGAAATATGTTCGATAAGCAGCGATAAGATGCTGCTTCACCTGTTAGACGATGTGTGATGTCTCGGCGCTTGTTATTGTTCATCAGCTGGCGAGAGCTCTTCATCAGTGAGAGAGATTCAGTCAGGTAATGAGATTAATTAGACAGCAGGGCTCTCCTGCTTATTCAGACTTTATGAACCTCAGTGCTCACATTTTCACACAGCAGTGCAATCATGAATATTTATATCAGTATAATTATAGCAATATAATTATAACGTCACATCAGGTATTTTGTAAAAGTGTGTTTGTTTTTCATTTATTTATATTCCAGTATAAATGTGAATGTAAGCGATTTCTAATAAAATAACATCAACAAACAGTGTTTTTCTCAATTGTTGGCAGCCTGACTTTAAACAGTCATCTAAACTGACCTTTTTCACTTTATTAGTTTGTGTTCCTGTTTATAATAATCACGATCCATCATATCATTTGAAAGACTAAATTCTCCTGTTTCTGTAATTAATCTTCCATTAGAATGTAATAACGGTTAATAATATTGATCAATAACATGATGTTTCACTTTCACACTGACTTTAATGAAACAACGTTTTGACTAAAGCTTCTTTAATTTCATTCAGGTTTTTGTGGAGCATCTTGAGGTGCATTTCTATTATTATTATTATTATTATTATTATTATTATTACTATGTAAAAATAACATCTTTTTAATTTTATAAAGTATATATTTTCCCTAGGGTTATAAATAATAAACACTTTAATCTTACAATATAATTTAGATATTTGTTATTTTACGGAATTTTGTGCATTTTTAAAACAAAAACTCATTTCTTTAAAAAATACAATATATTTTAATTTTTGTTTATAAAATATGACAATACATGTATATTAATAATATTTAATAATGCTAATAGTAGTAATGTTTCCATTGCTTTATTACTGCTCAAATAAAAATGAAATTTTTTAAATCTAAAATATAAATCTCTGTTTTATAATATACAAATTTGAAAAATGTATATTTAGTTATTTTTACATATTATTGTTTGTTTAAATAACATATCTTTTTAATTTTATGCAATATATGTTTTTATTTATTATTATTATTGTTATTATTTGAAAATATAGCAATAATATATAATAGTATACAGTATGCTTTTTACAGCTTGTGATATTCTCATGTATCTTTTGAAAAATTATTACAATAAATGTTAAGATTTTTTTGTTTCTTTTGCAATTTATTATTATTATTATTATTATTATTATTATTATTGTTGTTATTATGCTGCGTGTGCTGCAGGGGGCGGAGCTGCGGGTGGCTGAATGTCCCGGATGGTGTTGTCAGGAAGAGCCGCGCGCCGCTGAGGCTCCGGAGCGCTTCCACATTTACAGATTTAAAGCTCCGTGATCCGCTCCGCTGCCCCGCTGCTCCGCTCCCGGCCCGCCGTCCGCCCGGTGAGTATTACCTCTTCAGCCCTGACCGGCCTGCGAGCTCGAGCGGTGACGGGAATAAACACCGCGGACGGAAAAGAAGAAATAGTGTGAGCGGTGGTGAAGACTGCGCTCAGTGCGCATGCGCACCAGCCGTCTCATATCATAATAAACATAGGCGACTGATCGATCGCTCTGATCGCAGAGCTGTTCGATTATATGAGAGAAGATCCGCAGCGCTGCGTCGATTTCACGGCTTTATTTCTCCTCTGGCTCGGACTGAAGGAGAACGCAGCGCTGAGCTGCTCGCTCTCCAGCTTCTTCTCTGAATTTTACGTTCCACCTTAAATGGTGCAGGAGCTCGGTGGTGCCTTAGGCGCCAGAATGGAAGTGGTGCACCGTTTAAGGTGGAACGGAAGATTCAGAGGAGAACCTGGCGAATGGGAAAGACACCAAAATAAACGGTGTTTGTTTCGTGTCTTGTAACCTCGACGGAGCTGGAATACCTGCTTAAAGGAGCCTAACAGCAGAAATGGGTTTATATTAGATGTTATATATGTAATATACCTACATATGTATGTATATAAATATATACTGTATGTATGTACATGCAAACGGGTTCAGCATGTGAAAGAACATAGCATGGATTATAGTAAAAAGGTTAAACATGATAATTAAATGAAATCTGATTTGACGAACACTAACAGAACGTTTCATCATCATCACTCCAGTACCTGTACTGCCATATTATGACTTGAGTAGAGCATATATTTGTGTGTGTGCCTTTAATTTTATATCACAATTTGGTGGTATACATATATATATATTTCGCTGCTGTCGGAAGAAAACCTCATATCTCCAAAATGAGAACTTTTCATGAGGAGAAAAAAACCTTCTTTACTTTTAATGTAAGTCAGTGGAACCAGACATGTTCATAAGTCATTTCGGGTCTTTTCTATTAGTCAATTCATCATGAAATTTACATACAGTGTAAAGGACAACAGGCATTTTCAAATTATGACCAAAACTGAAAAACGTCAAAAATGGAGATATGAGGTTTTCTTCTGACAGCACATATATATCTGTGTGTGTGTGTGTGTGTGTGTGTGTGTGTGTGCAACCTCTTTCATTTTGGAGTAAATTGTGAAAATAATTTGCGTATTTGTTTGTTATAACACATTTATAGCAGGTTGTCCTGCTCTGTTTATCACTCTGTGTCTGATCTTCACTCTCAGCTGTTGTGGTTCTTCTCTCTGATGTAAATGTGCTGCTGTTTCCTCCAGAGGCTCATTATCCTGTTTGTTTCTGTGTTCTTTTAGTCTGTCAGGTTATTTCTTCTGTTTGCCAAACGATGCTGTGAAGCAGCCTCAGGTTTAAAGAGAGAGTTCACCCAAAAATCGAATTTACGCAGTTTTCTCCACCTTATTCCAAATGTAATCGATCGTCTAAGACATGTTTGGTGCTTCCTTAGTTTTTGCACTGGACCTACAAAGGGGAAGTTTTCAAAGTTTTCTAAATTCCCCCATAACTCAGTGTGTGAGATGTAATCAGAGTAACTCAGGAACCAGGGGTCGCCATGACTACAACACAAATATAGACATTTTATTTACTATCCAGAACCACCAGTGAACCTACACGAGTCTTCTGAGTTTATATGGAATGTTGATGATGGAAAATAGTGGAAAATCTGAAATAATAAGTTTTCTTTGGGGACTATTTTGCCTCACAGCGCCCTGCATGTATCCCTCCACCATGAATGGAGTTTAAGTTCTCTAAACTATCATAAAACAGTGTCTCAGTCATCAGGCAGTTAATGCATAACCATTTCATGTAGTAACTTTCTGTGAGAGCTTTTAGAGGTGGACGTCTGGTTCCTATCACCACCACTGTGAACAGTTCTGACTCTAGAACGAAGCGTTTCACACCAAACCACTCTGATTACATCTTAACCAGTTAATTGTGCAGAATTTTTGAAAATGTGATGTAATTCTCCCTTAAGTAAACTTTAATAGACCTGCTTATGTAGTTTCAAGTGTGATGATTCAGGCAGGCTGTTAGCACCATGCTAACTGGAGGGGTTTACGCTTCTACTACTTGTTAGCTACATTAGCCTCGCGGCTTCAGTGGTGCTTTAGTGTCTCTAGAGAGAGATTCAGTTTATAGACTAAACCGCCTTCTGACGATTGATCTTGAAGGTGGGTGGAACTTTTACAAAACCTACAGCTGCTTTGGTGTTAATTTTGGGGGACTTTTATTTTGAAATATTTGGTTTTCGTTAGCTGGTGTAGCTAACGTTACTGCTGTCAGAGCTGTGTGTGGTTTTACAGCCGTTTATCTGTAATAACTGTGTTCAGACGATCGTTACAGTGGAGAGAATTAATTACTCAAACCACAGAAACGACTCGTCAACATGCTAACAGCTAACGTTAGCCTGGCGCAGCGCTCTGCCCTCAGCTTGGCTCCTCTTCTCTGGCTGAAAGGGTTAAAACTCGTCTCTGGGCTTCATTTAGTGCTGAATAAAGACAGAATCTCTGATTTCTTCATACCTGAGTTTGGTAATCCAGGTAAACATGCTAGCCTGTGTTTTTAGCCTGTAGCTCAGTGGCTAGGCTAGTCAGGATTGGGTGACACAATTGTGGGACGCGTCGTCCCAGAAACAGCGAGCAGCCTTTAACACAGCCTTTAACACAGCGTTTAACACAGCCTTTAACACAGCGTTTATCACGGCGTTTAACACAGCCTTTAACACAGCGTTTAACACAGCGTTTAACACAGCGTTTAACACAGCCTTTAACACGGCGTTTAACACGGCGTTTAACACGGCGTTTATCACAGCCTTTAACACAGCGTTTAACACAGCCTTTAACACAGCCTTTAACACAGCCTTTAACACGGCGTTTAACACAGCCTTTAACACAGCGTTTAACACAGCCTTTAACACAGCCTTTAACACAGCATTTAACACAGCCTTTAACACAGCGTTTAACACAGCGTTTAACACAGCCTTTACACAGCGTTTAACACAGCCTTTACACAGCCTTTACACGGCGTTTAACACGGCGTTTATCACAGCCTTTAACACAGCGTTTAACACAGCCTTTAACACAGCCTTTAACACGGCGTTTAACACAGCCTTTAACACAGCGTTTAACACAGCCTTTAACACAGCATTTAACACAGCCTTTAACACAGCCTTTAACACGGCGTTTAACACAGCCTTTAACACAGCCTTTAACACAGCCTTTAACACAGCATTTAACACAGCCTTTAACACAGCGTTTAACACAGCGTTTAACACAGCCTTTAACACAGCGTTTAACACAGCGTTTAACACAGCGTTTAACACAGCCTTTAACACGGCGTTTAACACGGCGTTTAACACAGCGTTTATCACAGCCTTTAACACAGCGTTTAACACAGCCTTTAACACAGCGTTTATCACAGCCTTTAACACAGCGTTTATCACAGCCTTTAACACGGCGTTTATCACAGCCTTTAACACGGCGTTTAACACAGCCTTTAACACGGCGTTTAACACAGCGTTTAACACGGCGTTTAACACAGCGTTTAACACAGCCTTTAACACAGCGTTTATCACAGCCTTTAACACAGCGTTTAACACAGCCTTTAACACAGCCTTTAACACAGCGTTTAACACAGCCTTTAACACAGCCTTTAACACAGCCTTTAACACAGCGTTTAACACAGCGTTTAACACAGCCTTTAACACAGCGTTTAACACAGCGTTTAACACAGCCTTTAACACAGCCTTTAACACAGCGTTTATCACAGCCTTTAACACAGCGTTTAACACAGCCTTTAACACAGCGTTTATCACAGCCTTTAACACAGCGTTTATCACAGCCTTTAACACAGCGTTTATCACAGCCTTTAACACAGCCTTTAACACTGCCTTTAACACGGCGTTTAACACAGCCTTTAACACGGCGTTTAACACAGCCTTTAACACGGCGTTTAACACGGCGTTTATCACAGCCTTTAACACAGCGTTTAACACAGCCTTTAACACAGCCTTTAACACAGCATTTAACACAGCCTTTAACACAGCGTTTAACACAGCCTTTAACACAGCGTTTAACACAGCGTTTAACACAGCGTTTAACACAGCCTTTAACACGGCGTTTAACACGGCGTTTAACACGGCGTTTATCACAGCCTTTAACACGGCGTTTAACACAGCCTTTAACACGGCGTTTATCACAGCCTTTAACACAGCGTTTATCACAGCCTTTAACACAGCGTTTATCACAGCCTTTAACACGGCGTTTATCACAGCCTTTAACACGGCGTTTAACACAGCCTTTAACACGGCGTTTAACACAGCGTTTAACACGGCGTTTAACACAGCATTTAACACAGCCTTTAACACAGCGTTTATCACAGCCTTTAACACAGCCTTTAACACAGCCTTTAACACAGCGTTTATCACAGCCTTTAACACAGCGTTTATCACAGCCTTTAACACAGCGTTTATCACAGCCTTTAACACAGCGTTTAACACAGCCTTTAACACAGCGTTTAACACAGCCTTTAACACAGCGTTTAACACAGCGTTTAACACAGCCTTTAACACAGCCTTTAATACAGCTTTTACACAGCGCTTAACACAGCCTTTAACACAGCCTTTAACACAGCCTTTAACACAGCCTTTAACACAGCCTTTAACACAGCGTTTAACACAGCCTTTAACACAGCCTTTAACACAGCGTTTAACACAGCCTTTAACACAGCCTTTAACACAGCGTTTAACACAGCCTTTAACACAGCGTTTAACACAGCCTTTAACACAGCGTTTAACACAGCGTTTAACACAGCCTTTAACACAGCCTTTAACACAGCGTTTAACACAGCGTTTAACACAGCCTTTAACACAGGCTTTAACACAGCGTTTAACACAGCCTTTAACACAGCCTTTAACACAGCCTTTAACACAGCGTTTAACACAGCCTTTAACACAGCCTTTAACACAGCCTTTAACACAGCCTTTAACACAGAACCCGCGA